TAGTTATTTGGCTAAATTTATTTAAATATTTGCTAAAGGGAAAATATCTCTTCCAGGGCACTGGATTGTAACAGCAGAAAACAGCTCCAGTTCAGAGTTAAAATGATAGCAATGAGATAATGAGGTTCATACAGATTGAAGAATTAAACAATCAGCTTATTAACAGAGGTGAAGCCAATTTAAGTCTATACTTTAAAAACCTGTAGTAGAAATCAATAATTGACAGTGACAGAAACAATGGCCATGGACTTCTTACTTTCCAAATTTCCTAAAAATAAATAGATGTTATTTTTGAAGTCAGGAAATAACTAAAAACTGTGATAGCTTAGGTTTCTTTAATAATCTTTTCTATGGTTGACCCCAAACTTTGAAAATTCAAATAGAGAGGAATGTGAGGAGAAAATCATTCATTCAATTTGTGTATTACCTGAAAGATACCAGTTCTTTATCACCACAGACATCCGTTACTGTATCATTTCCATCAATAACAGGTGAGTCCAAACTGGCAGATCCATTACTGATGTGATCACTGCTTTCATATCCAGATTCGGTCCTCTGCATCTGCCAGTTTTCACCCTGAACTTTACTCTCTATGACGCCTTTATTTTTCTCTGCTCCTTTTCCATTAGATTCAAGGGAACTTCTGCTTCCTATTTCCTGTTTCATTTCATCTTCATATATGGTTATTAAACCTTTCTGCCTTGGATTCTCTTTTGGCCAGTTACTAAAACTCTGATCCTTCCTTCCTTTAGGTTTGTTACTGCCATTTGACTTATGTCTTGGACTATGTTGCCTTTTTTCACTTTCACTAAAAACACTATCGACATTTAATGTTTCTCTCATAGGTTTCCAACCTCGGTTCCGGCTTTTACTGTTGCTGTTACAGCCACTTCCTTTATCCCTAGAATCTTGGCTACTGTCTGTATCATATCCAGTGCCAATGTCATTCTTAACTTTGCCTGTTATTTTCTCTCCTGGAACAAGAATCTGAGATTTGCCTGAAGTTGTTACTTGTCCAGAAGCTTGACTCTGATGGGAAATTCGGTCATATTTATAGGGTCCTCTTCCTTGACTGTGATATAGATGTGGATTCTCATATTGTCTAAAGCTATTTGGGGCAGGAGGTGATCCAGACTTGAAATGTGGGAGGTTTTCGTCAACTAAATCTAAAGAACAACAACAACGATGATGATGACGACGACGACGATGATGATGAAGATTAAAGACACAAATGAATTAATTATCCCTTAGAGCAATGTTATAATCATAAACTAAACTTGAGAAGCCAGCCATCACAGCTAAATAAAATTAAATTATATTCTACTGCTTTGCGATTTGAAAAGTGCTTTACCAGTTCCTATTTATACTTAATAGGAGACACTATAGAAGAAATGGACTTTTAAAAAAAGGTAGATCATAAGATAAGATTCTAAGGTAGATTCTAAGATAAAAGAAATTTTTAAACTAAGCATTCTTAGTCATAATGAACAATCATCACAAAATATTTTCCATCTCTTCTATTGGTAAATATTTAAAACTTTATAGAACTAATTGCTGCTGAGTGAAGAGATATGCTATCACCATTTGTGGGAGTGCAGACTAGTTTAATCTTTCAGGATGGCAACTAAGTCCTATTGGTCAAAATGAGAACTATATGTTCCCTGACCCAGCAATTCCTCTGAAAGAATTTTACCCTATGGCTATTCACAAAAATATACAAAAGCACAGGTGAAAGGATGCCACCAGCTAATCAAATTAAAGTCTATCAGTATCAATTAAATTATGCTGTGTCAATAAAAAGACTTTTACAATTTTATTATTTGAATGCAACATATGAGTGAATTGCATTTATAAATAAAAGTAAAGTTAAAACATCAAAATACAAACACTACTGTCCAGTTAGAATAAGAGCAAGGAAAAGTTTGCACTTTAAGATCTGGTGTAGGTACATTAAAGAAATCTGAAAAACATATAAAATATACTAAGTATATAATATATAAAATATAAGTAAATATACAGACACTATATTAAAGTATATTAAAGTTATAAAGCTCTTTTTTAAAATAAGCTTTCTAGCAATCACTTTAAAATGAATGCTATAAGCTCTTACCTTTATGTCGGCCTACATCTTTCCTTTGTCCCTTTTCTAAATCTCTTCTTTGTAAAGAAAGTAAGTTTTTCTGTTCAATGGCTTTCAGAGCACATTCTCGGGAAATGTCTTTCATCTTTTCCCTTTGATCATTGTGGCTTAATTTAACTGTAAAAGAAATCATTCTTAAAATCATATAGATCAGTTTTCAAATTTTTCAACAAAAGTAAAAATTAAACTAAAAATGTTAAGATTCTATTTTTTTTTTTTTGAAGTATACAATAAACTCATCTCTATGCTTAACTAAAAATTCAAATGACTTTCCCTGACACTGGAGACACATGCTATCTTTTAAAAAACAAAACACATCAAAACATCTTGTGTAGTCCCTAAAGCAAGTGAGGAGAAAAAAAGAAGCCTGCCATTAAGATAATGAGAGGTCAAACTAACACAGTGGTCACTGGACAGTATGTTAAGTGTCTTACTGATGTAATTCTATAAGGTAGCTACAATTGCTATTTCTACTTCAGGTAAGGAAACTGAGGCCAAGTTCATGTAGTTTGTAGATGTAGAACTGGGAGTATGAACCCAAGCTGTCTTGTCAAAGGGCATACACATTATTTCTAGGCTTAAAGTAGGTTTCTACTGAAAAAAAATAAAATGTTTACTCTAAGAGTATCAACAAAATATAAGAAAAAGATACAGTTTTACTAAGAATTTTTTTTCTTGGCAATGTTAGGGACTGAACTTTGAGCAAGTTAGGCAAGTGCTCCACAACTAAGGCCATACTCCAGCCTTCATTAAAATTTTTTCAGTCTTTATTGTATTTCTTTGTTGATAATTATTATTCTGCCTAATAATACTCTTAACTGAGTTACATTTATAGACATTATTTCATTAACATATTTAAAAGCTGCTAGTAAAATCATCCTGAATACCCAATTAAAAATTTTATGTACTTTTATTTTAAAATTTTTATTTTTTTAAAGAATTATATGTATTTTTAAACCATAACTACACGCAGTACTGTGATGTCACATTTGAGAACCAAGTCATGCAACTTGGCTTGTGAAAATTAAAGTCATGAGAGGATAATAACAAGAGAGTTGAATAAAAATGAGGGTAAGAACAAACTACAGTTAGAGTAACTTTGAACTACAGTTGCATTCACTAAAGATAATTTTAATTTTGGCATGTAACCCACATTATTAACTGATGTTTTTATTTTTCAAGTTGATTATTATCTCCTCGAAGGAAAGGCCACATTATAGCCTTCTTTGGCAATCATTCAGATTACCTCAGGCCTACTGCAGCTCTGAGAGCATGGAGAAACTCAACAGCTTGTCAAGTCAAATTGCTCTCATAAAACTACAGCTCTCAGAGAAATACAGGCATCAAAAGACATAAATCTACTTCTTATTTTCTTTTTGTGGTCAAGGAAAGCTAATTGAGCACCCTCCTTCTGTACAGCTATAAATAGGAATTATAGATTCAGTAACTGAGGAAAAGAAAAAACTTAAACCCTATTGGACAATGTAAAAACGACAATTTAAACATGCACCTGGTCCTCTACCACCGCTTGTCTGAATGTGGCTCCGACTAAATGATGAAATATTAGTGGTCTGAAGTTTGTGATTATCTCTCTGTTTTGCTTGATCACTAAAACCATTTTCTTTAGAATTATCAGAATTATAAATTGCAGGCTTTTCACATCCTTAAAAAGATAAACAAAACTATATTATTCCCTTCCTTCCCTCACCTTAGAAAAGGTGTTTGAATCATCTTTTTAGATATTCTTTTTTTTTTTAATTTCATGAACAAATTTTATTTGGGATAACTTCTGATTTAGAGAGAGGATTTTACTGGTCTCTGCAGCCACTTTTGGTTCCCGAGGCAGAAGCTAAGATTGCTCAAGGGCACCTTAATTTTAATGTATGTCTCCAGCTGATGTCCCAGCCAATTTGATCCATCACTACCTTGGTGATGTATACTGTAAGATCATCTACTCCTCCACTATTATACAGAAGAACTAAAACCCAGGGAAGTCAGGTGATGAGTCAGTGCTATACTCAGTGAAGTTGAAGCACATGTCAATGCA